GTGAGTGACGCCTGACGTCCCAGAAGAAGGCAAACAAACAAGCGGAGGCCCCCGTTCATTAGCCCCTCTCTTGCTTTACTGAAGACGTGTTTGACATGTTGCACATGATTGCCCGCGTGAGGGGCAGCGCTGGAGATGTTACGGCGGCAAGGGAGAGAGGGAGGCGTGAAACATACCTGCCAAATTCTCCTACCGGAAGGATGATAGAGGCTAAATTGGGGGCGGGGGGTAGGAAGTGATGTGCAAAGTGGCATCCTGATGGCTCTTGATTCTAATCAGATTTATGCGTGCTTAACTGAGCTTGCTGCCTCCTTACGTTTCCCTCTAATTCCCCAGAGAGGCGCGTAGCGTAGCATCATTTGGGCCTACGAGACATTAAAGCCACGATGATACGTGAGCGGAACGTGCCTTCGTTTGTTGATGATTTCGATAAAGACGAGCTAAATGTGTATGTGAGAGAGAGAGAGAGAGAGAGAGAGAGAGAGAGAGAGAGAGAGAGAGAGAGAGAGAGCGAGAGAGAGAAAATGCCGGAGCGGGCGTAATTGGGAGCAAGGGGGGGAGGGCCGTTAAAGGCAATCAAATGCCGACGCGCAATTAGCTCGGCCGACATGTGGTAGTCATCAGGCTAATAAGTTCGATACAATTCATCCCAAATGTTGGGACTTTTACGCCTCGTAAACGAAGTGCGTTCAAATAGAAGGCGTTCAAGAAGTCCTTCGCCCCCGGCCGGCTGCATACGATTCGCACGGTGTCACAACATGTGACGGGAAAAACAAAGGGAGGCTTGATACGAGGACAATGAGGGCAAATGGTGAGTGACATGTATATCCAAGCGTGCGCCTGGTGATGTTTGCTGCGGCGACGCCGTCACGAGGCTGAGGAACTCGTGCGAGCAAATCAAGCAACGCTAACCGAGCTCGGGTTGGTTATGCATTCGCCCGTCAACATTTTTTCATCGAAGTTACTAAATCAGCTCTCTTGTGGAACTGCGCTTCAACTAAGCGACATTGATGATGACCGGATTGTTAGTGATAAGCTGTCCATTGTAGTGACCTCTGTCCCTGAAAGGCAGTGGTGTCAAACATACGGCCCGCGGGCCGAAACCGGCCACCGACGAGGTTCGATCAGGCCCGCAGGATAATTTAAAAGTGAAAAAATGCATAAAATAAACGGAATTAATATTTTTAATAAGGTGCAATTCATGCACAGTTTCTTCTTTAGTTTGTAAAGTTTAGGCAGGGATTACATTTAGATTTGATATGCACATGTGTAAATGGTTTAAAAATTCCTTTCTTTATAAATCTCGTTTAATATTAAAATGCATGACTATATTTTTCAATACCAATTACTTGTTCCAAGTTTTGCGCCTTTGTACAATCAGTGGGATCAGTTGCAAAGCATATATGTGAATGATAAAAGTCAATTGCACATTTCATCAATCTAAGGTGTTTCATGACATGTTTTGTAACATTTTCCTAATGTTCTTGTGCTTCACTCTACCAAAAACAAAAGAAAGACGTGACATTTTGGTTATTTATAGCAGAATATGGTATAATTTTAATGGTCAGGCCCACTTGATATCTACCGAGGTTGTATGCGGCCCAAGATGTGAATTGAGTTTGACACCCCTGCTGAAAGGGGTAAGTGAGGTTATGACGTAGACGTAGTCAATTTCATAAAGACCAGACCACTCAAAAGAAGAGTCTTCCATCTGTGAGGAGATGCGAGTTGAACATCCAAGTTGTGAATTCCGACGTGTGACCTTTGTGAGTTGGGCTTCTCTGTTGTCGCTGCACTGAAGCCCAAGTACACGTCCCGGCTAAACACTGCGCTTCGAAAAGTTGTGTACTGGAAAACGTGCTCATTGCAGCCATTGATTCCGACTTCCACATTTTGATTGAATGATTTCATGCACCCTGTAACCTGATAACACGAGAAGCTGTCCACTCTCGTGGCCGCTGTCCCCGAAAGGGTTCAATTTGTTTGATTCATTTTTGTTTTGTAGACGAAGGTGTTTCATACTTTGTGCTCCTGAGTTAATGTTGCGAGACCGAATTTGAATCGGCTCTTTCGTGATTTCATTGAATTTTAGTTTTCAAGAATCAAATTGATGCACTTAACATCTTTTTTGTTACAGACTAAAAACAATGTAAAGAAAGTTATTCTTTGCTGTAAGTTGAATGATATTTCATTCTTTTTTTTTCCTTTTCTTTCATGTCAATAAGGATACAATGTAATGCAGGCGTGTACTCATAACAATGGCGGCAGAGACTTGGGGAGGCGCGAATTGTTTTCTTCCTGTTGGGGGGGGGGTAACAGGAAATAATTGAGAAGCACTGGTCGAGAGCCTTGGGAGATATCAGAGTGAGAGTGATGGACAGATCGATACAGACGGGGTGAGAGACAATACAGTTGGCGATCGAGAAAGTGACAGAGAGATGGCGCGAGAGAGAGAAACATCCGTCCGTTATCGAAACCGCTTATCCTGGTGAGCCTGTCCCAGCTACCTTCGGGGAACAGGCGCAGGGTACACACGGTGCATGTTGCAAAAGATCACGTGATGCGACGCAGCGTTTCGGTTTGCCCGTTACATATGCGACGGTGCTGCCACACGATTCACCCGCGCTTCAAATACAGCGAGCGCCAGGTAGCATCGGACAGAAAGCGACAGTCGGAGGACCAGCAAGAGGGAGGGGGTGTGGTGGGATTGCTAATTGGAAGCTGGCTCTTCTGCGCTTCCTGGCCACCGTCCAGCTCCTCCATCAGCGGAAATGGAGGGAGGCGATGGCGAGGGGGATGAGGGGGGTGGGGGCAGGCTCCGCGGAGGAAGAAGCTGATAGATACGCCGGACGGCGAGGATCGGAGAGCGACGGGTAGGAAAATGGGAGTGGTAAGCCGGATCCACTTTGATGCGGAATGGAAACCCGGCACGAGGAAGAAGACACAAACGGTGACTGACGCAAATCAAAGGCCACGCCCTTTGCAAAAAGCGTGACGCGGCATACAAAATGTGGCCGGATGACATTCTGTGAGATCAGCTGAAAACACAAATGTGAGCCGACACTCATCACTTGCGTATCGTTGCGATTGGGCTGGAAACAGGTACATCCAAATATGGTCAACGACCGATTTTCCCACAATTCAATTGGTCAATTTGATCGGTCTGGTGCCATTATCATCTGTTGTTTTTACGCAGCGGTTAGAACAAATGTGTCACTCCTCTTGAACAGTCCGAGAAGCACGCTAAAAATCTTCTCAGCGGGAGCCGTGCAACATGACATCACCTCAAGATTGAAAGCGGGGGTGGTTTGAGGCGAGTTGTAAAGTGTCATGCGGCATCCTCGACAATCGGATTTGTTTGCCGTAAACGGGCGGAGCTAAACGCAAAGGAAGACCAGGAAGTCATTACCGTTTTGGTTGCCGCCGTCATGACCGTCCAGCTGGCGTTTCTGCGCACTGCGAAACTCCTTGAGGGACAGGTACAGCACCTTTCGCATCAGCCGCTCCTCCGACCACGGGATCCCATCGCTGTCGTCCTGCCCAAAACAAAATGGGAGAGGCGGTTGAGGCGGCAACATTTGCTACGGCGTAAACAAACACAGCGCAGCTCAGCCTCTGGCAAGACGGCTATCACTCAGGCCCAGAATTGACATGATCAAGAGTCGTCGATTACTTAAACGTGGACTTTTTTTTAAAGATTTTCATTTAGCAGTTTTTGCCCATAACCTCAGGAAGTAAAATGGATTCATTAATCTTGTTAAATAATTGAGCAATGTATTTCTAGTGAAGAAGTAAATTAAAAGTAAGACTAAAATAATGTCATTTGGCAGACAGCTAGAAAACATCTCCAAAGAGACGTTCGGACATGGGCGGGGTGGGGGGTGGGGGGCTATCTCGTTACGTCAAAATCGGATGTCATCGCCGCCGAGTGCCCGAGTCGCACGCCGGGCCGTCGCGACCGCGCTTCCTCGCATCCTCCCATCATTTACCTCTGCATTATTCATTAATTGCGCTTTGTTGTCGCGAGCTCGTTTCCTCAAGTCATTAGTTTGACATCAAACAAGCCCAGACGACAGATTCCCCCTATTAGGCTGTTTACCCTTACGGGCTGCTCCGCTTTTCCATCTGCGCGCACGCGCTCGCACACACACCAGCTTGCTGCAAGTCAACAATATCCACGTAATAATTGTCAACGCCAAATGAGGGACTCGATCCGTTTCTGTTCCGTCATCATCCGCTGGCGAACACGGACGGGCGGGTTGTTTTCACCGAAAACGACGCTTTCTAAGATTGAGGGGGGTGATGTCTGTTGCTTTTGTGACCCTTCAAATGAAAAAGCAACAAAAACAAGACTGTGAAAAGGTTTTCAACAGCAAAAATAATGATTACCGACATGTGCACAACGGTTTTTTAAAATAAATAAATAAAACACACCGTGAGCAACACTGACTGATGTCCGCGACTTTTCTGCGCTTTTCACGCCGTGGAATGCTTTTACCTTTTCCCTCGCCATCGCAACACATTTTCTACTACTTACTGTGACACACATTTTGTTTATACAGTGAAACTCCTCTCCAACAAAATCATGTTTGCGGCAAGAAATGTTTCACAACAGGGGGTTTTTCACTGTAGCAAATTTGATCTCAGATGTTAACACACACACACACACACACACACACACACAAACGTATGTGTACCCGCACACACAAACGTACGTGTACTCTTTTTTTTTTATTCCAATAGTGCTTAAGTATAAGCAGCATACACATATTTGACACTTCATAGTCAGTGTAGAAAGAAAAAAAGGGAAAGACACGGGTTTTTTTTGTTGTATGGGGGGCAGGAAAGTGGGAATGGTGTTAATGCATGAAGATTTTTTCACACTAGGGGGTATTTTCACCCATGTAGGTTTCGTTGTAGAGGAGTTTCACTGGACCACCCACTCCATTCAAGTCAGAGTTGCCTCAACCGTTCCCCACTTCCAACTTGTTGGCGTTTCTCTTCCAGATTATCGACCGGCCAAACTGAGCTTCACTGCCTAATCTTTATCTTCCATTCTAAAGGTGTGCTGATCTCCAATCCGAAGCGACGCAACGCCGATATCTGTCATTACAGTGGTTTAACACTAGCTGAATTTCACAGACAATCTGGGCAAGGACCCTTTTCCAGGCTGCCCTGTTTAAAAAAAATGGGACTTGATCAACATATTCGTCGCTGGCAGTAAACACTCAGGTTCAAGGTCCACTGCCGTCGATGAGTTTGTTCAATCAAATTATTCGTAACAGTTCAAATTCAGGGTTGTGATCGCCAAGTTTTATTTCCCAGTTTTTTTGTTTGACTCGTAGGTATGTCGTCAACAACATCATTCGCATTCGAAACCTTTTTATTTTCTTTCCCATTGCAGTTATGACCTCATTCACTCACTCGATTCTTTTCAACTCTTTGAAAAGGGTGTGTCAATATTGACAAGTCGTGCGTTTGCGTTGCATAAAAACAAGTTGCCATTTTGATTTCTCCACTCTTGGGGACGTTGGGGGGGGGGGGGGGGGGGGGGGGGGGGGGGGTGTCATTATCCAGAGGCGGGTGTCAACGTTTGACGGAGTTGATGGCAGACACGTGTCGCCACACCCAGTTTGTACAAAGCCTGCTGGGGTTTTTTTTCACCTGATTGCAACAATAGTTTTTTCCATCCTGAGCATATTTTTGTAATTATTCGGTTGAAAATATGAATTGCGAAATAAAAAAAAAAGATGAATGCCTTTTGTCATAATTTTTTTATGCAATGGAGGAGGTTAACTCACTCCATCGTTCAGTTTCAGTCGAGCATGTTTGTTAAAAATTACCATAAAGACATTTTTATCCCCCCAAATTATACATTTAAGTGAGAAAAATGATGATTTAAGCACATGCTATACAACAAAGAAATATAGAAAATTAAAACAAACAAAAAAATAATAATGCTCTGTGTGGTATAACTATTCGCATTATTATAATTCATTTTTTGTTCTAAAAATGCTTTTTTTTAAACTATCTAAACATGAGGGGGATGGGGGGGGGGTGGAGCACTTCACAGCTCAGTTTCACATTCAAGTGCACGAGCGCATGTTTGTAGAGACGGGAGCTTCGCTAGCATAGCTGGCAGCCGCGACACACCCCGAGCGGCTCCCATCGGAGCTGCTGGAGTCTCACTAATGAGCACCGGGACCTCATCGCGCTCAAGGTGTGTGTGCATGTCTTTAATGTGCGGCGTCAAACCCCACCACCCCTCCCTCAACACACACACAGACGCGCACTAAAGTGTATAGCACTCCAAAAAAAAAACTAAAAAATCCCAAAAGGCACCCGCCGAGCTAGCTTGCATCTTTGTGGGGACGTTGCCCGTCCAAATGAGACGTTTGGACGAGTCGATGGCAAAAGGGGCCGGACGCCAAGTGTGGCAAGGATAACGCCTGACAGTTCAGTTGCAACACTTTTAAAATAATCAATTCATCTGTCAATATTTTTGAGGGATGAATTGACAAATCCAACTTCCCATCCCTTTCGTGTCCAAAAACAGGACATGACTTCCAATTGAAAGTGCAGAAAATGCTCGGAGAGATTGATTCCGTTGGTGGTTTGGTGTGTAACGTGCAGTGTTAAGAAAACGGGGGAGGGGCGCTAGACTACACACCGGCTGCGAAATAGGAGCCGCTGACAATCCTTTTTTCTGATCAGCAATGATCACATACTTTTGCCACGGAAATCACCCGATTACGATCGGCGTCCGATTGACCGGAGCACCCCTACATATGACAAGTGATGGTTTTATGATATTTGTGTTCTCCGCTAACGTCATCTGCGATGCTAGCGTAGAATTTCCTCGTGTCGACGGAGTGTGTGTGTTTGTGTGTCTGTGGGCGTGCGTGTGAATACGCAAGCCGTCTGAGCTAAAAATAAACCGGCGCTGCGCCGCTTCCTCCAACTCTTGCGGATGTCACAGCGCGGGAATGTGGGCCGTGTGCCAACTGCACTACACCCCCTAAAAAAAAAAACATTACGCTAACAGACTTTTCCACTTTGAGGTGAGATGGCTACCCCCCAAAAAACTGATAAACGGAAGCAGGGGAAATGTAACAAACGGCTGGCTTCTTGTCGGGACGCTGGCTGGCTACGAAGCGCTTCCTTTCAGCTTTTGCCGATGCATGCGGCCCAGATGAGGGCGCATCGCTAGTTAGCGCTATGTCGTTAGCCGTTATTTGAATCCCATGTGGGTCACCGGTACGTTTTCTCGGTGGAGTAAATGACAAAAAGGTGGCGCAGAAGAGAATGCCCACCCCAACTCGACAGGAAGGACTGAAGCAGGAAACAACGCGTAACCTTCGTTAACCTCGCGTCTTGACAGGAAGAGCCTGCGGGCTGGCAGACCCGCTCACGGTGAGATTGGAAGCACGCTCGCCACTTTTTGAGGGAAGACACCTCGGGGCGACTTCGCCTTGGGACTGTCTGACTGACTTGAGGTTTGCATCTGGACTTGGGTTGGGCTCAGGGTGCGAACAAACGGGCGAAACCGTTCCCAGGTTGTTTTCGTTGTTAATTTTTTTTGGCTTGCCAGCAAAAATTGGAGATATGATCAGCAGCGAACGCAACTCACTTCACAACAAGCAACAGTTTGGCAGGTAAATACGACTATAACCGCAAGTTATCGCATCACTCACAGTAGTGGTGAAACTCTTCTTCACTTTTTTTTTTTTTATCTGCATGACTTCATCGTCGTGCGCTCCAGAACTGGGTCAAACTTTACGTTTTATTTAATTCTGTTATTATTTGGGCAGTTCCAGCTCTTGTATGACTGGCAAATACCAGCCTTTTTCTTTTTAACACCTAACATCAGAGAAAGATAAGGACGCCAAAACAACGGATGATTTTTGGCCATTTTTTGAACAGGACAAAGCACAGTAAAACCGTCGGTATCCACGCGGCTTCTGGTACGAGCCTCGCCATCCCTCATAATATCAGCTTGTATATTGTGAGTTGCTTTCAGTAAGAGTGTTTGTCAGTGTGTGTGCGCGCACGTTGTGAATTGCTTCTTTGTCTCCCGCCACAGAGCGTTGACCTCAAATGGTCTCGGCGAGCTAATGAGTGACTGCGCTGGACGATGTCGAGGCCCCCGCGGCTCCGCCGCCGCCACGCTCGCTGGCGCTACGCTCTCGCGGCCGCACACGGGAGAAGCAAGCCTTGTGGGAATTCACGGCAACATCGCAAAGTTGGCAACAATTCGAACTTTGTTGGCTGCAGGGATGAGAAACGCCGTGCCGATAAATCGTGCGTTGCTAACAGATTTAGCAATGGGGGGAGACCGAGAAACACGGACAAAGACGGCAGATGCGGAGATGAAAATTTGCAATCTTGCCAATACCGTGTCAAAACGGAATTATTGTTACTGCCGTATTGTGCGCAGGGAGGAAGGAGAGAGAACCGCGGTTTCACTTCTGGCAGTCAGTCATCCCGTTTCGAATTGTAATTATTGTTCGTACCATATTTAGTGATGGGAATACGC